TTCTCGGAATTCGGGGAAAAAGCTCGGATCGTCCCTTTACCCGGATTCTCCACCAGTCACACCCTTTTGTGTTTCGTCTAATTGTCTTGTTTTCGAGTTATAGACTTAGACTTGGGCAGCTTCTCAACCCAATGGATTTATCCGTTTGTTGAGGCTATATGAATTAAAAGAAGGCAGGAATAAGTTAACGTCCGGCTGGTTTTATTCAATGATGAAAAGTGACCAGCCGGGACGCGCAACCTGCTTAACTCAAAAATCTGAGATATTCTTTTTAACCAATCAAAAATGATTTAGGAGATAATGGTTGACGAAAAAAACTACATTACAAAGGATCACTTGGTCATTGCGTGTCCACTTAATCTATAGGTCTTTGTGACGCAACTAATTAAACAACACTTGGCCAGGTAAATGATTCTAGGGACTTCGTTAATCCGTTAACAAAGGATTTATCACTCATGGACTACATCAAATGGATGCTATAAAAACATTTACAACAAAATAGCCTTTACTGAAGCCCATTTAGGATATATCACAAATAATTTTGGAATTAGATATACTAGTAAGTAATTGTCGAATTTGTAAAAACGAATTTCATTCGTCATAACATTTTTTTGTCCCCTCACTTAAATCAACGTCATCACGAATTAAATTCGTTTAAATGATTCTAAAATTAGAAATTTTAACGAATTATATTTGTTATAGCGGAGTAAAAATAGAAATAACGAATTGAAATCCTTTAAATTAACAACTCTGGCGATTCATTATATAGAATTTAGAAATATCGTTGTCCTAAACTGGGCTTCCATGCGAATTCGTATCAATTAATTTAATTTTTTAGCAGAAATTTAGGAACATTTAAATAAAAAAAAAATTGACAAATTTGGTATTCGTTGAAAGTAATGTAATCTGGCATAACAAATTTTTTAATTCGTTATAAACAAAAATTAAAATAAATTTGTTATCAAAGAAAAATAGTCACAATGGATTAAAATTTTCGTCATAATAACGAATTAATTTTTTGACGATTTAACGATTCGTTATATTCGTTAAGTCAAATTCAAAAATATTGTTTGATAGGACCCATTTAAGGAAAAAAAATATTTTAAAAAATCACATCTGTTTTCACGAATTGACAATTATTGCAAAAGTGTTTTTTAATGAAAGATAGTTTTTCTTTATATTTGACTAGAAATTGATTCTAATATTTTAGTTTTGTTTGTTTTGAAAATTCATTACTTCTACATTGCTCTACGATGAGCTTTAACCAAAATCCGATTTGTATTTCCTTGGTCCAGCGCTGACCCTGAAACCCAAGACAAAGTTGGCTATACCCCGGTACATTGAATATCTCTCTCTTATCCACTAATGTCATGTTGATTAATTATCTTTTTACAGGAATATAATGAACGCTTAATAGTCCTATATTAAATTTGTGAAAAGTTCAGCCCTATTGGCTCTGCTTTTAGGCTTTTTAGTTGGAATTTCTTCTGGGTCTTATATTAAAAAAATATTTCTAAAAATTATTAAACATTGTACGAACATAAAGCACTTTTTTCAATAATTAAGCAGCTAGTCTTTTACCAGAAAACTACAAAATTAGTGCTTCTCGACCAAGGATTTGGTTTAATTGGCCACACCACGGTGTACTGAACTTAACATTATGTATTCGAACTTGTAGGAGACAAAATGCAAGCTAGACTATAATATGATTATGAGTACAGAGTCTTCTTTTAAGAAAAATTAATGTCATTTAAGACCATTTCAAGGTACGATAAATACATGATATTCAGGTGTCTGTCAAAATTGTAGCCATCTTGTTGTATTTTCAGAGGGATAGAACCATGTCTCTTAAATGTGATATATGCAGGGAGGATTTCAAAAATGCACACGGGTTGAGTATACATAAGTCAAAAATGCATCCACCCCTAACCTGTGGAATATGTCAGAAAAACGATTTTAAAAATGAACATGGTCTTAGCATTCATATGACAAAAATGCATCAGGATAAGGAAAGTGAGCTTTATACAAGAAAAACTTCCCAGCATGACATTCATCATAGAAAAGATGGTGGTCGACAAAGGCCATCTACTGCATGTGGCCACAGAAAAGATGGACACCCAGGAAGAAATCCACCTACAGCCGCCCATAATCCACATAGCCGCAGCGCTGTAAATGCAAAAAGCAAATCTTACAGTGGACCTCCAAGAGAACATAAAGGTGCCACAGGAACACGGCCAAAATCAGTGCCACCTAAATTTGTAGAAAGTCATAAAATAGATCCTCATTCGCCAGGAAAGAGGCAAGTTATTAAGGAGGCTGCTAAGATTGTACATGTACAGGCTTCCCCGGAAACTTTAACCAAATCTCAAGAGAAAACCGGGGGGCGAAGTAAACCAAAGGAACCGTCGGCTACCGAGAGGTCACCTTCATCAATGTCAAGTGAGAAGAATCAATTGTATTGTAAAAGTGCTACAGGAACATGGCCAAAATCAGTGCCACCTAAATTTATAGAAAATCATAAAAGGGATACTTATTCGCCAGAAAAGAAGCAAGTTATTAAGGAGGCTGCTAAAATGGTACATGCTTCCCCTGAAACTTTAACCAAACTTCCAGAGAAAACAGGGGGGCGAAGTAAACCAAAGGAACCGTCACCCACTGAGAGGTCACCTTCGTCACTGTCAAGTAAGAAGAATAATTTAGTATTATAAATTAAGTTTTTTTGTTAAACTATGTTATGCATGTATTTCTGTGCATTTTTATGGCCCTAGATCGAAGATTGTTTTGTCCTGCTTGTCTGTTGTCAACTTTAACATAGCCCATAACTATTGCGCTGTCAAGGGTAAGGCTATATAATATTTGATATGAGTGTTCATCATGACAAGACCTTAATTGTGCAGAAGTTTTTGATCGTGTGACCTTAACTGTGACCTTTAACCTACATTTGAAAAATTTCAGAATTGTGTTACCATCGGGGGCATAGTGTTTTACAAACGCATCTTGTTCCATGAAGAAGATAACGTGATCTCCACATTTCTTTTATATACAATGACGTAAAATACAAATTCAATTCGTTTCAGATTCGACACTGTCATGTCTTGCTTCAGATAAAAGCAAACTTCTTACAATTCTAAAAGCAGGCATTATATGCCCTAAAGAGGACAGTAAATTAAGGGTGGATAGAGTTAACCTATTTGTTCAGCATTTAGAAGAAACGATGGCCGGGGTGTCGGATTTTCCATTGGAATTGTTTAAATCTGGATCTTACTACGACAAAACTAAGGTAGTTTAGGAGAACATTATTTGTCCTTTTAAGCTGTAATAATAAATCATTTCTCTTAATTGCCATGTTTTGCAATACAAGTGAATCGGACTGTGCATCTTAGATGCTATAAATACTGTTAGGCCATTATTTACACACTGACTTGTTGACGGATTTTCCTGCTATTTCTCGATCATGACAAAGAGCCTACGGCAGGGGATGCTCACTCCTCTATTGCACCTGATCCTACTTCTGATGTTTTTTAGGTCCGCATTTGCTCTGCTTCTATTTTGTAATGTTAAATAAACTTCTGAGCTTGTATACTGTTCGTTATCCCCACATATTTTTCATAGTATGTTTTATTTATATCTTTGTATTTACAGATTGATTATGCAGATGAGTTCGATTTTATGTTTTACCCGAAGGCCACCTTTGAAGCTGACTTTTCAAATTGTCCGCCAGGATACTGTAAAATTAAGAAAGGTCGAACGACTATTCAGGACTTCGACAACATGTTTACTAAAAATGGTTATCTTATTCCGGAACGTTTTAAAGAGAAGATGTTTCAAATTTTTAAGAAGTGTATTGAAAATCCTGGCTTCCGAGAGGGAAGAAGAACAAAGAGTAAATATTTCCCTATATCTTACATAAACTACTTGTACTTATGAAATTTAGTTTTCGCTTTTTAAAGAAATCTTTTACGAACTGGTGCATAATCTAATATGTTTTGTGACCATGGTAATTTTTTTAAATTCTTATTTAATAAATGACAAGGTACTAGTTATAAGATTAGCTGCAGAACTGTAGCTTTATGGTTTTATATATTAGTCTGACCATAACGCTAGAGATCTCAAAATGCAAAAAAATGTGCAATTTACAACGCAAGATTTTTTGCGTACAGTTTGGGAGAATTTCTTCACTTTCCAGACACATATTTAAACCACATTGTATATTTTATCCTCCTCTCGACCCGCTATAGTTGCTTTACAGGCGATAAACTGGCTTGATTTGAATTGTCTGAGGGATTGCAGAAACTTCTAATTCAAGCAAGTTTATCGCCTGTAGAGAGGGTTGGAAGGTGTATAAAATATGCAGATTTATTTTTTAAAAATGTGTCTAGTATTATGGAGGGAAAGGTAAATAATTTACCAATGTTGGAAAGTAGAGAAATTCTCCAAAACATTGCGCAAAAAATCTTGCGCCGTAAATTGCACATATTTTGCATTGCGGGATCTGTAGCGTTATGGTCAAAGACTAATATACCGGTATGTAAAACCATAACGCTACAGTTCTGCAGTTATTATTTGATGTAAATCAAATTCTAGCATCCTTCATACATCGAATGTCGACTATATGTTACTATAAAACTGTTGACATTTGATGTGTTATATGTACATGTACTGATAAGCTTAAACATGCAAAATTTTGTTGGTTGTTAAAATTGTAAACAACTTTATGTTTAGTTTAAACCATATTTTATTTGAACATGACAAATAGAAAATACTGACAAGAAGTACAAAGATCAAAAAGGATTCGGAAACAAGTTTTAAAAACTTATACTAATCCGTTTTCTTATTACTGGCATTTATGATAAAGATAACAGACCCATATTAGATAGTTACAAAACACGACTTTATGTTTGGTCAAGCGGGAAAACCTTAAAAAAATCTCAGGACTTGACTTTGAGGTGAACTCACTCAGAGTAACCCTCAGAGGATCGACAGAGTTTAGCCCAATTAAAGAGCATCACAATTCCTAAATCACATCACTCAAATATGACATATCCAAGTATATACAATACAGTTTTATGTTTCCTAGGAAAGCTGCGGAATCCTGAGAGTCCCGCCTTCACTGTTTTCTATGATCTACAACTCCAGGGTAAGCCTCCAATCGACATTGATCTAGTTCCCGCCATTAGACTGGACGGATGGCCCTCCACTTTTAAAAGACCGAGCGCAAAATGGCTCAGCGAGGACCATGCTAAGAAGGCCATGAAATGTTTCCACGCCGTCACGAAGACGTTCCCAGGAAGTAAGGAATATGTTATTATATTTTTTGCTAAATTTTTTCAAAGGATGGATCAACAGGGTTTTTTTTGTCTGTTCAGTGAAACTCGTCGTCTCAAGCCACGGTATACGGAGTCCGTAATTAGATCTCTCCTACACATGACAGGATCGTACATTTTGGCAGTGGTTTGCGACGATGAGTAAAACTTGTCTACATGTAATTCGGATGTTATATATTCAAAAAGTCTTGTCTAATACTATGTAACTTCAAGTCCCTTTCGATGACTTCGATTATTTAAAATATTGTTTATTCTGGAATGTTGTCTAATTCGGCCAATTAAATGGTTATAGAAGTTTTGAATATATTTTTGTAATAAAAAAGTGAACAATTTAGGATTTCAAATATAGAAAGAAAAAAAAAAGAAATAAAGAATAACAATTAAAATCAAGATATCTCAATACTCAATATTGAAACAATGTTGCAATTGAATAATTAAATTTACAAATAACGATCTTTTTCAATACAATAAAATATTCTCTTGTATTTAGAACATGCAGATGCAGATCTTCTTTGGCGGATTTCGTTTTCACACGCAGAACGGAAGCTGATTCACCACGCAGATTACACAGACAAAGGCGTTCGAAAGACAATCTTTAAAATTCTGAAGAAATTAAAGGAAGACATAAAAACCGATTCTCCGAAAATCGAGAAGTTCTGCAGCTACCACCTTAAAATGTTCATGTTAGGGTTTTTCGATAGACACCAAGACTTCTCGGAGAAAAATGAGCAGCATTTGTTTAATCAAAGTATCAAAGAACTTGTGAAATGTCTGCAGGAAGGAGAAATACGGAACTATTTTATTCCAAACGACAATATTTTGAAATATGTACCGAAAGATGAAAAAGATCTCATTGCACGAAAACTTGAAGAATACATTTAGATTGACTGGTCAGGAAGTGTTAAGGATGACCATATTGAGTGTAAAGTGAAATTTATGTTTTTACTTTTTTAATTTTAAGTCATCATATTTGCATACTATTCTAAACAACCGTTTGATGGTTGTGAAATGCCATATATCTTCAATGAAGTGCATTTATAAACATTTAATAGAGAAAGCTGAATTTTACGCTTTATTGATTTATGCTAGTACATGACAGTTGTGATATAATTAGATATACAACTGTAGCTTTGTAAATTTTAAATGTTCCTGTTATAAGGCATGTAAAAATATAATTGTAGTTGTATGCTTTCAATGACTGTATATATATATTTTTTTTTTTACACTTTTTTAAAATCAAATTGTGTTTTTAAATTTTATTTTATCTTTATTTTGTATTTTTTTTTTATTTATTGTGTGTGTGTGTTTTATTGAAGCACTGTGTATAACATTGTTTACTTATATACGTAGTAAAATAATTCTTTTCTCGCATTAAGATTAGGTTGCAAAAAATACTTTTAATCTATGATACGATGATACTATAGCAGTTGTTTCCAAGTTTTGTGTATGTAGATTATCGGTATTGAAAAAGGATGTTTCTTAAATTTTTAGCACCGACTTTCGTGCATTCACAGGGCTGGAAACAATTTTCTCTTTGTCGATGAGTTTTATTAGGTTATGAAGTAGCTTTTTTAGTGTCTGAATAAGTGTATTTATTAATGTACTATAGTATTTCCTCCTTATATCTTTTATGTCGCGCAATGAATACTCTCAGGGCATGTTTTTTTCATACGTTCTAGCTGTACTCATTTTTGTCCGTTAGCGTAATGCATTTATAGCTCAATTTCAAATACACTGGGAATATTTAATATATATTTTTTTTTTCAATCAAAACGGTTACAACGATACATTTTAATAAAGTATTGTTTCATTGAATAACTGTGACGGATCTCATAAAACCTTTTTACTATACAATTTGTAAAAAGAACAAAAAAATAATCTGGAAATAAGGAGTTGACGCCGAATTTCTTTTAACCAGCTACCTTTTATTGTAGCAATGTTCCTCAGTTATCTGGATGTGGTGTATACTAGTATGAAGCCAAAGTTATTTTTTTATTCAAAAGCATTGGTTTGAGTAAGATCAATTTTAAACTTAAACAGGGAGGGGCTTCTGATACGGAAATTACGGGGTTTTTCATTTATCTTGTTTTTTAAGTTAGCAATTTGTGAATATAACCTACAGTCACAAACTATCGAACATTGGGCAATATTTTACCTGACATGTTTCAAAGAGCTAGATACGCTAACCACCAAAAGGTGCCTTAAGTTTATGAAGTTTGAAATCCTTATGCCTGTTAAATGTTATTTGTTGTGGACTTTGTTTTTATTCCATGATGACTACTGATTACTCTATTTACCTATTAATAAAGAGGGGTCTCAGCGGCCATGGCCGACTCACGAAGCTTTTTCCTCTTAGGTAACCGATCCCTATTCTGGTGTTTTTATCGGACCGTGAATTTTACCTGTTCACGATCTGTAGAAATTCTTTACTTGATTCCAAGATTGACCACACTTAATTATCTTCCCTTTTACACAAGCTTCCTTAAATATATATTGTAGTTTAAAATTGCATAACATTCATGTACATAATAAAAAATTAAATTAAAATTCATGGAGAACGCAATAGAATAAAGGGAATACAGGTCAATTACTTGTACATAGCGCTTGAAAAACAATATCGTCACGAATACATGTATATCATTAATTTTTAATTAATTAATAGGATTAGAGAGAACGCTCTAGTGTCAATTTTTGAATTTATTTTGAAAATACTTAATAGCAGTATAGATATTCTTAATATAATTGAATGATGAAAAGAATTAATTGACGTACATGTACATTATTTTAAAAATAATTTTCCGGACGAAATGAAGCACAAAAGTTGTGTGAAAATTTCAAAATAATAATAATGAGTTAACAATTCAGCCGCCGCTGTGTGATTGGTCAACTCATATTATCAACATTGACACGGAAATAGTCTGTTGCACGAGCAACCAATCAGGGATTAGAAGAAACTTCCAGTTGTTAAGCTTGCGTTAATGGGCATGTACTATTTACCTTGAGCGCTACTGTCATCATAGGTTTTGACGTAATGCAAAACTTCACACTTAACTGAAATTACTAATGATATTATTTTTGATGAAGTTAGGAGATGACAAACAGTAATCGAGCTCCAAAGTCCGTTTATACAATGCTTGTTGGAAGGAGAGCAAACACAGACTCTGCATACAGTCTCGTTTTAAGTCACCATTTTGAAAATTCTGTGGTCGACACAATTAATGATCTTGTCATCAAATACATTCAAACGAATGCTGACTGGTTTCAAATAATGGATTCGCGAATATTGACGCGCTAAATTGTCTATAAACAGTACAATCATGACAAACTGCACGTTGTGAGTGTGACCAGTCAACAGGGAATGCTTACTTCTCTATGGCACCTGATCCCTGATGTTTTCGTTGGTCGTGTGTGCTCTACTCCCGATTTGTATTGTTGAATGGAATTTTAGCTTTAAATCTGTTCGTTATATCCATATTTCATTAGAGTATGCCGCACGGCGTCATTTTTGACAATGCCTTGCTGAAAGTGTTTAATTAATATGCATATTACGCAATTTATTTCCCATTTATGGCCCCTTATTAACGTTTTCACTTATCGATTAATACTACTGGAGATTAGAGTTTTTATATATGGATGTAAATGTGATCTAGCAGAAAAACTTGCTGATTGAAATAAAAAGTATGACGGTCTCTATCTTGAAAACCCTATAATATAAACAATATGAAACAATGATATTATTGTTTCGCCTAATTAAGATTCTTTTTAATTAGAAAACTCTTCCTTTTTTTACACTCCTATAATAATCCAACGAAATAACGAAAAAACTATCAATGCAAAACAATGTACAGAAAATGAATAATCTTGATCAGAAAGTTAATTACATAATTATTTATAAAACTTTAATTTAATTTATCACAACCTTTCTAATTGTGTTCATACACGCAATGAACTTTGGACATATTTTTATATACATTTTTTGCTATTTTAAATTTGGATTTTCTGTTAAAGACCCTATTTTTTCTACTGGCGGTTACCTGAGGTGAGTGGTCTTGGTAGTACTTGTATTATTTACCTGGAGACCCCAATACTCAAGATGTCGGAATAGTAAACATGGTGAACAAAGAATTCTAAAAAAAAAAAAATTATCCTCCAATATACGAAATACCAATTCGACTGATACCAGGTCCTTGCACAATATGCTTGTCAGTCGATTAACAATTGCAGCAGACGGGCTCCCTTTTTTTATATCAATAATGTGTTTAACGTGAATTTAAAAAAGATGTTATCAATACACTCAGAGTGTATTCGATTAAGACAACCCGTGTCGCACTAGTGTTAAATATGCGCATGCTCATTGATTGAACTCTAGTGATCTAAATAAAACATCTCGTGTTGTTTAGTGTTTGTATAAATATGGCGGGGAAAACAGTATATTCCCTGTATATCGGGTTTGAACAGGACAAACAATTGATTAACAAACAATATCCAATTATCAAATAAAGAATAGCAGATAATTTAATACAAGACATCAAAGCTGAAATTAATTGTTCAACAAAATTTATTTTTTACAGATACAACCACAGGAACCTGTCGTTACTTATTTTTCTTTTAATAAAAAATATATATTAGGTATGGGTATATTATTTTTTATTAAACGAAAAATGAGTACACATGTAACGTCAGGTGCCTGTGAATACAACATGTATTTTATAGATTATTTATCCTTGCAATATTATTTAACAAGTCAATATATACCTCCTCTTATTAAAATAAAAAAGTAGAATAAGAATGTCTCCACATATGGTACGGTGTAAAATACGACATTTTTGGACTTATCTTAAATTACCGTGTAAATTAACTTTTCGGACTTTGTGTAAATTGTTGTCAAAAGTTTTCTTATATTTCGGCAATTGTGATAAATTATATAAATTCCGCACATTCCTAATCCCACCTGAGGCATAGTCAGAGATTGGACAGTTAATTCCTTAATTGACATCTGTTTATATTTATTGACACTTAATCTTTCATCTTTAATTCTATTATATACATACTGCTAAAATGTCACCATTCGCTCAATAATTATTTGATACTTGATTTCTTACTCGTACCTTTTGTTAATCCTTTTATTTTACTCTGTCTTTGTTCAGTAAGTATGTTTTGTTGTGAAAAAATTATAGTCAGTTGGAATCAGACCTTCGGTGCTGATACATCCCAAACTCACATGTAAAGGTATATTCCTTGCTGATTCTATATAAAAGTACAAAACTGTAACTCATGTTGGTGACTTTGAGGTTTTAAAAGAATCTGGGTTCAACAATAAGAGTAAGCTCACGGTTGAACCAGAATCAGCAGTATTGACGAACAGAATCATCCTGTAAAACTTACATGGAAATAGTTTTAAATATAATAGTGACGTACCATCGTTTTTGAAAGGGGGGGGGCAAGCCAGAGAAAATTTAGTTGGAGGAAGAGGATGTAGGTTCCACTTCCTTCAGTACCAAATTTTATTCATACGATACGACTTCAGCCTTGCTTGGCTTTACTGTAATAAAAAGGGGGATGAAGCAATCGGTGGTCTTTCAATGAAGATTTTTAAAAGGAAAGAGATGTCTGGGGAAAAAAAAGTGTGGGGAGCGCTTCCACCAGCTGCTCGTGTCTGTATCCCCCCCCCCCCGGTAAAATTTTGCACGGGTTATAATAATTGGTCAGAAAAGTAACATAGGTGACATTTTTCATTAATATAGTGTTAGTCACAGGATGTGAGAGACATATTCTTTTACAAAACAAAAGAAAACTTAAGCGTATGTGTTTTTCATGGTCTTACATGGCTGTGGATTTTAATTTTGAGTCTGATGTTCAATATTTCAACTAAATTTTTTTTTTGAAAAAATACACATGAAATTGTTCAATAATTATTACGATTGTAATTAAAGGCTGAAAAAGTAATTTCTATAGACTTATAACAGTAATTTTATTGTAAACAAAGAACCGGTTGGTTCTGGGGAGACCCCCATATTTATAAGATCACATTGTAATACATGCATGTAACTGAAATTGCTCTCACATTTGATCCTGCAATTATGTTAAAACTGAATTATTAATAATAATAATTTAACTTCATAAGGTAATTAACACGAGATATCTATGCTGCGATTGTTAAATCTATCAAAATAATTTTAGTGAATCAATATGCATCTATTAGACATTTTTGTAATCAAGGGGCCCGCTTTACAAATGAACTTACACCTAAGACCAAAATTGATTCTGCGATTTTATTTTTTGAAAAGAATTTAGAATGTTTCTATGGTAACAATTTCCAAAAAGGTTAATTTTCAAAAATTTATAATCAACATAAGTTTTTGGTTTTAGTCGTAAGTTCTTTTGTAAAACGGGCCCCAGAGGTTCGGGCAATAATCATAGGCAGATTTGAAAAAAAAAAAAAGATAAACTTTATTTTAAAAAGATTAAAAACTGCCAATGATAACACAGCCGTAATTTTAAGAGGTTGATCTAAAAACTAAAAAAAAAGAAGGGAGGGATATCAAAATTATAATGCAGACTTTTTTCATTGACGTTGTAAATTTCTAATACAAATACTGACAAATTTATGCAGAAACAGTTTTCGCATTAACAATGCGACTTCACTTCCCGCCATTTCTTTCACCTGTTACTCCAGGTAAACTGAGGAGTATACTCGCGTAACACGAGTTGATCACCCGTGTCGAAGATAGGTTGTTTTATTTACAAC